TCCCATTACGTAGGAAGGGAGGTAAGGGGGCAAAAAAGCCCCCTTGGCTGAACAGGGAACTCCAGGAGAGTCTGGGGGCAAAGAAAGAGATGTATAGGCAATGGAAGCAGGGAGCAGCCACCAAGGAGGAATATATCTCCCTGGTGCGCTATTGCAGGGAATTAGTTAGACAGGCCAAGGCAGGGATTGATCTCAGGCTGGCTTCAACAATCAAGGACAATAAAAAAGTCCTTCTTCAGGTATATAGTGGGCAAAAGGAAAGCTCAGAGCAACATAGGGCCCCTATGGGACAAATCAGGACAGTTGGTGGTTCACGCAGGGAAAAAGCAGATCTCTTCAATGAATTCTTTGCTTCAGTATTTCTATGTACCGACCAAGCCAATTCCCTCACCTCGATCACTGATGGATGTCCACATGGCACCAGTCCACCTACAGTTAGTTCTAAAATAGTTAAGGAGCTCCTGGAGGAGCTGGATGGGTACAAGTCAGCAGGCCCGGATGATCTTTTCCATGGCTGCTGAAAGAATTGGTCAGTGTCATAGCTGAGCCACTGGCACAGCTGTTCAAGCATGCATAGTGCTCCAGCCAGGTCCCTGAGGACTGGAGAAGGGCCAACGTGGTGCCCATTTTCAAGAAAGGGAGAAAGGATGAGCCAGGTAACTTTAGACCAGTCAGTCTTATCTCTATTCCTGGGAAAATGCTAGAGAAAATAATCAAAGAACACATATGTGAAGGCCCACGTGGGGAAATGATGCTGAGGGGAAACCAGCATGGGTTTGTCACGGATATATCCTGCCTGACAAACCTTGTAGCTTTCTATGACCAGGTCACGCACTACCTGGATGCGGGAGCTGAGGCTGATGTCATCTTCCTGGACTTCAGGAAGGCCTTTGACACAGTTTCGCACTCTATCCTCATTGGGAACCTAGCAGACTGCGGAGTAGATGCCTACATGGTCAGGTGGGTGGCCAACTGGCTTAGGGACCGCACCCAGAGAGTGGTGGTGGATGGTTCCTTCTTGGCCTGGAGGGAGGTGGGCAGTGGGGTCCCACAGGGTTCGGTCCTTGGACAGATATTATCAATATTATTTGATATATCAAATAATTTGATATATAATTTGATATAATCAAATATTTGACATATCAAATATTATAATTAATAATAATATATTATTATTCAATATCTTCATTAGTGATTTGGACGAGGGGGTGGAAAGCACCCTCTTCAAGTTCATTGATGATACTAAGTTATGGGGCAAACTTAGTACACCGGAGGGCAGGGAGCAGATTCATGCCAACCTGGACAGGTTGGATCAATGGGCAGAGAGAAATAGGATGCAATTTAATAAAGATAAATGTAAGGTACTCCACATGGGAAGGAGGAACTCCCAGCACACCTATAGGTTACGGATTGTCCTTCTCAGCAGATCGGAGGCAGAGGGGGAATCTTGGAGTCATAATTGACTCCAAGATGAACATGAGCTGGCAGTGTAATGAGGCCATCAACAAGGTCATTCGCACCTTGTCGTGTATTAGCAGGTGCATGACTAATAGAACAAAGGAGGTGATGCTCCCCCTCTATGCAGCACTGGTCAGGCCGCAGTTGGAGTACTGTGTCCAGTTTTGGGTGCCACGCTTCAAGAGGGATGCGGGGAATCTTGAGAGGGTCCAGAGGAGGGCCACTCACATGATTAGTGGCCTTCATGATAGGCCCTATGGGGGGAGGTTGAGAGAACTGATTCTCTTCAGCCTTCACAAGAGACGGCTGAGGGGAGATTTTGTGACCACCTATAAATTTATTAGGGGAGGTGAACGGGGAATAGAGTAAGTGCTGTTTACTAAGGTGCCACAGGGAGTGACTAGGAATAATGGGTGTAAACTAGTTGAGAGTGGATTTAGGTTAGATATTAGGAAGACATTTTTCACAGTAAGGGTGGTCAAGATCCGGAATGGGCTTCCAAGAGAGGTGGTGCTATCAGCTAACTTGGAGGTCTTCAAGAGGAGGCTAGGTAGTTACCTGGATGGGGTCATCTGACCTTGGTCCTCTTTCCTGCCAGGGGCAGGGGGTCAGACACAATGATCCATTGTGGTCCCTTCTGAATCTACAATCTATGAATCTTTATGGATTCATAATTTTGGAGGACAGTGATTCATTTCAGTGTTTCAAATCACAGCCCTATTTCATTTCAGCTGAATCTGTTTAGGAGGTTTGGCTCAACAGAATTTCCTTCAAAACTGTTTTGAACAGGCTGCAAGGTAACCTTTGCATAGCCCTACCCAGCTGTGCGGGGCTTGGCTCTGGGGGCTGTAGGGCCCCAGCAGGGAGCAGGATGGTGCTGTGGGTGGCTCACCCGGGGTAGGGGGAGGACTGCTGCCCTCCATGCAGGTGAGGAGACACCCACACAGATCTCTGATCCCTGTCATGCAGGGTCACGGGGCAGGGAACTATCACAGAGTGGTGAGCAAAATTGCTGGTCCCTGCCATGTGACTCAGTTCCACAGGGAGCAGAGATCCATCCCAGGGATATCCTCACCATTACTGTACATCCAGATCTACCCTGGCAAAGTGGGTCTGCGCGGAGTGGGCAGCAGTGGCAAAGAGACCCTGGAGTGGAAATCTTCCCTTGGTGTAACCAGGTCACACTGCCCTGCCGCATGTGGATCTGGGACCAGCACTGCCCTGCCACATGACCTGGCTCAGCAGGTTGCAGAGATCTGCACTGGACTCTCCTCAATGCTGTTGCCTACCCCATGCAGCCCTGGATCTCTGCTCTCTGTGAAGTTAGGTCATGGAGCAGTACTACTCTGTAGAATCATTGGTCTAGGGGCATGATTCCTGCTTAGGGTGTAGGAAGTCCTTGGTTCAACTCCCAGGTGAGCCCTGCTGAATTGGGGGGAGTCTAGGCAAGTACCTTGATGTGCTGAGAGCCCCTTTTGATCCATTTCCAGGGGTGGGTGGGACCATTTCCCTGTTGCAGCTGGTGCATGGCCCAGAGCAGGTAGGATTAGGTACCTCCTTGCACCTGTCTCCATGGTCCCACAAGCCCATAGAGTTATGGGACAGTGGTTGCTGAGGTATCAAGCTGGGCCCTGGGGGATGTCATAAATAAGGGCATGGTGCTGCCCCACCCCACTGGAGTAGGGGTCCTTGTACCCACTTGGGTCAGGTGACTACTTGTGCGTGGGTGTGGCTGAAGGGCTGAGGGAGCCATCGTCAGGGAAGCATGTCCTTGACCAAGGCATCTTCAGGGCAGGGTTTGGGGAGTCCAAGGGCAGTGGTATGGAGATGTGGAAGGGGCTGCCTATGGAAGGAGCTGGATCTCAGCTGGAGGAGAAAAAGGTGCACTCCCCTGTGCAGCAGAGTGCCAGAGGAGCCCGAGGAAGTCCTCATCTGCTAGTGCGTAAGGCTGGGCCTGGGGGCGAGTGGCAACCGCAGTGAAAAGATGGAGGCCAATCTTTTTGCATGTACCCTGGATAGCTCAGTTGGTAGAGCTTCAGACTTTTAATTTGAAAATTCAGGGTTCAAGTTCCTGTTCAGGTGTGCATGGGGCCTTGTCCTAGGTGTGGCCTTTTGACTGGGATAGCCTGGACTTGACTAGGCTGGTCCCAGCTCCTGGCTAGGAAGCAGGTGTCCTCCTGGTTGTGGCTTCCCTTTTCCTGCTGCCTGGCCTACAGTAATTGATTGCCCTGGGAGGAGCCAAGGGCTCCCTTTGGCCTCCCTCCCATGGCAGCCAGGTGAGGAAAGGGCAGCAGGTGTTCCTTCATCACCTCGTCATCGCAAGTCCTGCGGGTGAACTGAGATCAGGGAGTCTGCAGGCAAGGGGCGCTGTCCTGCTCAACCCAACCCTGCCCTCCCAGTGCACTGCTTTGGGCTAGCAGCCCCTGGCATATTGCCTCTCCTCCAAGTCCCGGCTGCCTGCACAGGACCTTGTGGTTTTCCACCTGAGCAGGAGAGCAACTCTTCACAGCTCGTCATGGGGGAAAGGTCGCCAAGGAAAGAGCTTGGAAGGGTGGGCTCGCAGATCTGGCAGCAGTTTGGTGGCACAAGCGGGTCCTGTGTGAAAGGGTCCTGAAATGCAGCAGGGCAGAGGTAAAACTTAGTAGTAGCAGGCTTGTTGGTCTAGTGGCATGATTCCTGCTTAGGGTGCAGGAGGTTCTGGGTTCAACTCCCAGGCGAGCCCTGCTGAGTGCTAAGTTGTGGGGAGCCTAGGGTAGGTCCTGGATGTGCCAATAGCTCCTTTTGATCCATTTCCAGGGGTGGGCGGGACCATTTCCCTGTTGCAGCTGGTGCATGGCCCAGAGCAGGTAGGTTTAGGTACTTCTTTGCCCCTGTCTCCATGGTCCCACAAGCGCATAGAGTTATGGGACAGTAGTTGCTGAGGGATCAAGCTGGGCC